AAAATATATTTTTTATTGATTTCAGAGAGAAAGGGAGAGGGAAACATCAATGATGAGAATCATTGATTGGCTGCCTCCTGCACGCCCCTGACTGAGGATCAAGCCCACAACCCTTGACCAGAATCGAACCCAGGACCCTTCGGTCCATAGGTCGATGCTCTATCCACTGGGCCAAACTGGCTGGGGCCATAGACAAAAAACTTTAAAAGGAACTGCCTTATGTTTGATAGGGACTCAACCTGCTTGGCATTAAATAAATTAGAGGGGATTGTAGAGGATCTGTTGGTAAAAAAAAGAGTGTTATTACAGACTTCTGAATACAGAAAGAAGATTTGAAAATTATACACTGTGTGGACATTTTTGAAGAAGAGTCTTATCTTTCAGAAGCTATTAACCATGTGTAACCTTTCTAGCAGCTAATTTAAAAGAGCATACAAATTAATCCACTAAAAAATAATTTAAGGCAGAAAATACATTTGGAAGCACTCTTAGTAAGATGTTAAGTACACAGAGGTCTGGAGCCCTTTTAAGTTTCTTGACTTAAGGCCTTTGAAAAATCTAATTTCATTTGGGATATAAAACATAATTTTAACAATCTTTAAAAATGCACCATAATTTAATCTATGGTTTATAGGGGGAAGAGTGCTCCAACAGATAGAAATGCTAAGGAAGCAATTAATCATAGTATATAATCTACAACTGTTTCAAGTATTCTGCTACCTTTATCATAGTAGCAGTACATCTCAAGGAAACTTGTGGGGACTTTTGGTTAATACAATGATAGGGGCACTACTGGGTGTCTTCCAATCCAAGGGACAGTTCTGTATAAGAAAGAATTGTTACGAGAACCACAGGAAGGCTGGCTGAGTGGAAATTCTACAACTAGAAGGAAAGAGAAAAGCATACTGAGACTCAGAGGAGGTGTGGTGTGGAAATAAAGTACAGAGGTACAGAGGCGCATGGGAAGAGGTGTGGTGGCTGAGGACACAGTTGTCTTTTTCAATCAGGTGGGAGTCTCA